TCCATAAACGGACATGGGGAGGTTAGTCCACCAAATATTTTTATATATGCCCCCCCCCCCAAAATCAAAACTTTGTTAGAAAGTTATTCGTTGTTTTTATAATTATCTGTTTGGTTTTTTTGAAAATCATAAAATAAGAAATAATAAAAAAACTATTTACAATAGCATTAACAATACCAATTACATAGTTTGGCTACTTGCGAAAGAAGTTTCGGTGCAATGAAAAAAATAAAACTTGGCTAAGGGTATCGTTGGTTCAAGATAGGTTCAGCGATCTTTCAGTACTATATATTGAAAAAATATATATCGAAAAATATAAAAAGTGATGATATTTTGAGTATCTTTGCTGATACAAATAGATATTTGTCATTAAAATAAAATATTAATTATTTTAAATAGGTATACGTTATTTAGTGTTTTTTTAATACAATTCAAACATATCTATATTTTTCTATATTTTTAATAGTAATAAGTTTTACTTGTACATGGGAAGGGGTGTGGGAGCGAAGTCCTTGCGGGTTATTTTACATTGAATTTTTATAGCCCCTCCAAAAATTCAACCAAATGTCCGCCTATGGTAACATCCTTCACATTTTTTATTCGTCAAGTATATGTTATATAAAGATTACTTCAGTTATCCGAATACACAATTTTTTTATTCACTTTTTATAAATTAAAATATTACGTTAATCCTACTTGAAATATATTTTAATGTCAGTGTAATACTTATAAATATTATATTATAGTATACAAACAAGAAAGAATAAAATTGAATTAAAGCATAAACAAAATGAAAATTTAATCCTATGATGTAATATCTAAATATTTTAATATTTATTTCTAATTAAAAGCTGCTAAAAATATTTATTTCATTATATATATATATATATATGATTGCTTAGAACATAAATCTTTATCACTTCAGTATCCGAGTGTACTGGATGATTCAATTCATTCAAAATACTTTGAAAAAATCTTTTTTCAAAATTTAAGTTAAAATAAATTTAATTAACATCTGACTAAGTTTATAGTTATTCTTGTTATTATTAGTCGAAGTAAAAATAACTTATTGTTTAGTTTTTTTAATGTGTGAAATAAATTAAGGTTAGAGGTATCTTAAGTACTGGAACTAAGGGGAGGCAAGTCTGTATGCTTGCCCCAGTCACTGTTATTATAAGGATGCTCTTAAGTTTATGAAAAATAAAAAAAATCATGTACATAAAATATGAATAAATTATAAAATATTTCTAACAAAAAAAAAAAAAATAAATAAAAAAAATAATAGGTACCTATTACAGTAGTATCGGTTTTACGGGGAAGGGGCCTACAACAATTTCAAATAGTTAATCTGCATGTCTGATTTTTCTTAACAATTTTCGTTTTTTTTTTTTTTTAAATAACTTTAATAATATCAATGTGTAATGACTATATATATATTTATATCTTAGTAAATATTTTATTGAATATAGAAGTGTTAATAAGTGTAAATATCTTTTTAGTTAGGTGTTCATTATATTTTACCGCACTATGTTTGAATGATAATTAACATTGTTGTAACTTTTGATTTTCGTATGTGATATTCTGAGGAAAATCTGAGGATATATAAAATTATCAAATTAATAATTAGTGATGAATAATAGTATAAATATTAAATAATTAATAAATACTGTTAAAACACAGAAATATAATATAAATTCATAGCTTATTATGTATAATTTTTATAATAATTCAGAATATTTTTTTTCTTGTTTTCGAAAAATAATAAAAAATCTGTTCACCTTTGGATTTTCAGCATGCAATAAAAAATCCAAAAAGTTTTTAATTTGGAAAGTAAGTTTAATCATTGTATTATTATTATTGTATTATTTACTATAGTTGTATCCAATATTGTTATTATTTTTTGATGAGAACACTTGAACAGTAGGATTAAATAATATTTTTACAAAAAGCAAGTGAATTTTTTTTTTTTTTTTGTACAACTAAAATAAAATAAACCCCTAATCAGAAAACATTATAATAATAACTGGAATTTTTACTTTGAAGGATATGATGCATTCACAATATTATTTTTACTCAATTTTAATGAATAATAACTATTAATTTATTCTGGAAAAGGAAGAACAATAATAATATGACGTAGGTACTACATCCCGCCAAAATAAAGTCATACTTAAAAAATGGTCAAAGTATTTAGTACATGATTAGTATGCATTTTTATGACCCTCCTCTTTGACCCTTTTTTCGCAAATTCAGTTTTCGTGTATACGGCATCACCCCATGTACCAACAGTTTTTATAAATTTCGTAAATCTAGTCCAGCCAAATTTCAGTATACAATAAGTTTAAGTTTGTTTAACCATTGGTGATGTCCAAAACCGTATTTTTAGGAAATCATTGAAAGTCACATCTCCTTCATAACAACTGTTTTGTACTACCTAAAACACACTTACTCATCGGTGTTCTATACTGATATTCTGATATTTCTAGATAATAATGGAGTTGGTTGGTTTTGCTTTCCACTTTAAAACATATACAAAACAGTATAAATTGCATGTACAGGGAATACTTCGAAAACATTAATATAATTTTATTAATTAAATTGATTGTACAGTCCATACGATTTCCTACTAATTATGCACTTAATTTAAGTATAAAGGGATTTTCGAATGCTAAATATTCCTTGTGTGAGGCTGAAATAAAATCACGGCAACCCCGTCATCAATAAAATTCAAACATTTCATAAACCAAGGTCATAAAAATTCATACTGATTACGTACTAGATGTTGGCACAATTTTTTTTTTTTTTTGTAAATTTTCAATCAGGGCTACATGTACGTATGATGTACATAATAATATGTCCACGTTGTGTGCAATTATATTCCGATAATATTAGACGTAAACACCAAAACGTAATGAGCGATGTAGCCAAGACTGAAATAATATCATAATACAACATTAAATTTGGACGCGTTTAATACAAAATATATGTTAAAAATAATTTCATTGTCAAGTGAACACACTCGCGTGTCCAGTATACAATACGAGTATAATATTAATTATACGGTTAGTGGACATAATTAGCGAACAAACCGATGTTACGCTAAAGTGTATAAACACAACAAATGTCGAGTAACTCAATATCAAATAGTATTACACTAAAATAAAAAATAACAACACTAAAACCTCTTTTTAATATTAAAAAATATGTTACCGAAATGCGTTGAGCCCGAACAAAAATTCGTCCGTGCGTGCTCATTGTCAATTCTTAGATATAAAATAATGAAGCTATCCGATCCGGAATATATGCATATACTGAAATGCAAGTGCAATGTTACACGTAAATCGTAAATTTGTCTGCTGTGTAAGAGTGAACGGGACGCGCATCAGTTATGTGATCGGTGAAATTTATCGGATTTTGAACAACAAATCGTGTTGAAAACCAATCGCGAGTTCAATAACTAAAATGATAACAATACGTGTTGCGGTAATCGAACAGTTATTAACGGCCGGATTTCTAACTAAAATCATCCAATGATTGCGGTTGTGGATCACGACCGTATTAATTTTTTATTATACATCATATAGTACGTGGACAAAAATGGTGTATGAATACTTTTTATTTTCTGTGATCGTGTTATAATTTTTACTGAAAATTCACTGATTTTTCGTCATATCCGAAAGACGCGTGTTACAGCGTATTAAAATAATTCGCTGAACAAAGATTATGCGCTGCAGGAATAAGGTTTATTAAAGGATTATAAATCGGCAAAATCAAATCCTTCAAACTCGTCTCGCTAATCATCTGACAAATACCTCTGCGTTTAATACTGTCTCCTTTTACGTTTCGCATGCCATCACTAAAAATTTAGCAAACGAGTGGCCAAAAAGAATAATATCTCATCAGTAACAAGTCATGACGAAAGCTAATGTGGATACCGATGTTTAAACTTGAATTTTTATTTTTGTACACACTTAAATTATTAATAAATACACAGTTAATAAATGTTTACGTTTCGTCGACGTTTTATCTCATTGCACATGTGTTCTGGTAAGCTTAGTGTTGTTTATTCGATTAATTACAAACCATGCACGTACTTAACGCGGGCGCAGTTAATATCGTAAAACGGGAAATAAAGCGATTCGGCACGCGTACAAAATTATTAGGCGCGTCGCTACGACGAAAATACGGAGGGGTGCGCGCGTTCAGAGCGGCGAATATATATTAATTACAGCGTTCGCGCGTGTGTCATCCAATACGGTCCATCGTGCGCGTGATCGCGAGGCGGAAGCAGGGGCGGCTCCTGAGCCTAGGTTAGGGGGAGAGGAGGGCAAGTTATAATTTTATAAAATCTTATAACAAAAAGAAAACAACAATTTAGTCCATACAGAAATGTGTGCTACGCAGTTCATTTTTCGATAATGATAATGATAATAATATCATAGTGCACACCATAGTATATTTTATATTAATATAGTTTATTTATAGCCTTTATACTTTAGATAGCAGGTAGATCGTGTACACCGTCATACCTCTATGGCTCTATCTAAATACTTAGGCGTGTCCTATAATAGTCCATATTATAATATGCATTTTTTGTTAACAATATACATTTTTTTATAAATACGGTACGGGCTTGGGGGGGGCAGCCCCTAGCTCTCCCTTGGGGCCGCTCTTGGACGGAAGCTGCAAACGCACTTGTGTTCGTAACGTAATTAGTGTTGTGCGCGCGCGAGACGAAGAGAAAGAAAAACGTCTGCGCGCAACAAACGGTAAAGGAAAAATGTGTCTACGCGATATGAGATCGAGAGAGAAAGCACATTCCCGTGTATAATACGTGTAACGCGTCGAAAAGTAATTTAAGGTGGACCGTTTAGCTTTCAACAAGCGGCGGTGGCGGCAACGGCAACGGACCCTATAAAAAGGGTGGGGACGGCGCTAGGCGGCTGCAGTGGTGGCGGAGAGGAGCGCACGCCCCGCGCACCCGTTCAGTAGCTGTTAAACTCGCATTACAGTCACGTTTATAGTCGTCGGCCGACCGTCCGTACGTACGTATTAAACACGCGCGCGCACTTCGTCGTCGTCGCCGTGGCCGGTACGCTCTCTTCTTTCTGTTCGCGAGTGTTTTACGATTATTTGTTTTTATTATTATTATTTTCTACTCCTCCCACCCGTTGCGCGAGTACCCGTATCGTCGTGCGTGCACGTGTGCGTTGTGTTTCGTTTTTAGCCGTCTCGCGGGTCCGTTGTTTAATTTTTTTTTTTTTTTTGTTTCTTACCAGTCGCGTCCTAATACCGACGTGACCGTTTTTTTATCCGTTGTCGTCTCTCGATCTTCCTCCGATATCGTCCGCGTGTGCGAGTATCCGCAAACCGTATTCCGGCCGTGACACTCGGATATTATCGTCGAACACGTTTCGGTCGTCGCCCATCGGCACCCGGCGGGACCGTGGCGCGCGCGCAGTGCGCGAGAGATGCGTCGCCGCCATCCGTCCGTCGTCGTTCGCTGCACCGGTGCACCGCGATCCGTGTGAAATGTTGATGATGATGGACTGCAGCAACAGGAAACCGCCGGTGGACCTGTCCGGCGTCGTGGTCGCGGCCGTGTCGTCGCCGGAGCCGGCGGTGGCCGGAACGTGGCACCCTCACGTGTACGGCAACCCCCCCAGGTCGCCCACGGCCCACAGCATTGCTGACATCCTGGGATGGACCAAAGCCGGCCCGGACGAACAGCCGTTGAACCTGTCCAAGACCCGGCCGCCCAACGGCACCGTGTTGGACCTGACGAAAATCAAACGCAAAGGTGAGTTCCACCCACCACTGCGTTACCTTTTTCGATCCGAAAATACTCGGCAATTTTAACGTGAAAGTACACCGATCGCGACGTCGACGTGTTTCGCGTACGTCGATTTATACATACGTTAGCGATCTGTTGATTTGACATAATATCTTTAACGAGGAGGTCTTTATTTTTTTTTCATTCAAGCCACCTTAGGAAAAATAATCTACCGTGTCTTCTTAACTCAACGGTCAAGTTTGACCCGTGTTACACGATAATTGCTCGCATTTTGAATACTTGAACGTTCAAATACTTCAAAGTGTTTTAGACGAACGTTTCACTCCGATCCTCGCGAGAGGCACACCTCATGGTTCGGAAACCTGTGCGTAGTATACGTAGCGTAAATAGTACAATACGTCTACGCTATAATAAACGTTTTGTTGCTGTACGTATTAAGCAGCGGATTACTGATCTTTTCGCACGTTTCGTACACCAAACGTATTACGATATTATGATATTGCAGCGTATTCGTGTTCAATGTTAGTACACGTACCAATAATAAGTATTCCGTGAACTTCTTTTCCGTTCTCGCGCGCTCAATCGCGTTACCGTGACGCGGGAGTTTTGTTTCTCGCGCGCATTGAACGCGCGTCCTCCACTTCTCCGTCTATTACTACGGTACGGCGTTTTATTTTTTGTTATATCACCTTGACAGTTTTAATCTCATGGTTTTTTCGTCCGCACTACAAATCTCGAAGACGCGGCGCCACGTTCTGCGCTCGCAAAACAATTGACGAGTAATCGTTGAACGGATTATAATAGATTATATATATAAAGATATACATCGTTATAATATGTAAAGCGACGTGTGCGAATGTTTCCGATGATGGTCTCTTCCGTCGTTTCCTTTCGCTCCGCCCGTCTACTGCAAAGTAACACCAATTAATCTCGAATTCGTTATTGCACGGCTGTTGCGCACTCGCGTTACGATATTGTACACAATATACAATATATATGGAATATTTGTCCGCGTATATATATATACGTATAATTATTCATATTGTATAAGTCTCGGTTTTTTCTTCGCGTCCGAAACGAGTGGTGACCAACCGTCAGGAATGAGTTCGTCGAACATTTACGACCGCCGCCGAATCGATGTCGTTGTTTTTTTTACGACGGCGATTATTTTATATTTATTTTTTTCCGTTTCGCTCTAGCTGGCCTCAATAAATCGTCGAACGATGTTAATTAACCTCGTGTTATGTACGCACGCGGCGGTAAACAATAGACGCGGTTTTTTTTTTTTTTAATTTTCCACTCGGCACCGTTTAATATCTTTCGGTTATATGTACCTTTAAAGGTGGTACTCGATTACGAAATAAAAAGATAATCGACAAACGATTTTTACGAACGCGGGCACGCACTCACCGTTCTTGTTAGCAGCGGCGGCCGTGTGTTTTCGATTACGCGTTGACGTCTTAATGTCGTTTCAGGCGGCGAGTGGAGTCGTTTCAGGTGCGGTGCAGACGTGGCGGGCGATAATAACGAGAAATTAAAAAAAAAAATAAAAATTAAAAAAAACCAGTACAACTGTAAGCGCATTACTGTAAGCCTATTACTGGTACGCCATGTGTGTATAAATAATATATATACCCATACGTAACTGCATTCGTTTAAATCAGTGGTTTTCAACCTGAGGGTCACGACCCCCTCGGGGGTCGCCAAAAGTAATGGATGAATTTATTTTTCCGTATTATTTAAAAAAAACAAAGTAAATTAATCAAAATTGTTTATCATGCAAATATTTTATCGGTTAATTAAATCAAATTTTTATGAGTAAAACAACGTTTTTTTTTTTTAAGGGGTCGCAAAATAGAGGGGTGGCATTCCGAAAAAGTTTGAAAACCACTGGTTTAAATAATATGCGTATCAAACTGTTCTCGATTTACGCTCGGAAAGAATTCGCTTAGTAATTTATTACCATATACGCGCACACGTGTATGAGTAGACGCTGGGATAATCATCGTCGTCATGTACTCGAGACCCGGTTCGCAGACGACCAAAACCCATCGCGTAACGCTGTGGCACGCGCACCTGCACCCGTATGGCCCTGCGCGTTGGATCCGGTGTAATAATTTCCGCGTAGACCGCACATGTGCAATATATTATACGGTATACGGGAGACGCGCAGGTCAAATGTGCGGAAAATAATAAATTACGGACGCTCGTTCGCAGTGATGTGGTGTGCGCTTGAGGCAGAAGAGGAAAAGGCTTTCCCGCAGAGGACTCGAACGACGCGGCAATACTGTTGCTGTAGGCTACTGCTAGAAAGAGGTAAACGTTGTTACATCCTCCCCCTCTATTCGTTATATAATCGATCGGTACCCCTTCTTGCCCTGTAATTGGACGTCGAGCCGTATAATTGATAATTGCCCGGCTTGTTTGCGTCCACACCGTACTCACGTTTCGTATACCACGCCACGTTTTCATCTCTATTTTGACCATCCGTACATTTTTTTGATTTAAATACTATTCATTATAACGCGTATGTATTAAATATTAAGAACCTACGGATAAATCCCGTCATCCCGTTGTCGATCCACGCAAGTGATACGAAAAATACCGACATTTTATTTGTATTCACAACCGGTTCGGGTTGTTCGGAAACGTTGTTCAATATATTTTATTATTTTTTTTCATTTGCCGAAAACAAAAGGTCCGTTTTCGATTGTCAGAATAAAAAAAAACATGTTTTTCTCGTGCACACGCGCAGGTAGTCGTCGTTGTCGTATATTGTAGGTATATTAGGACAGTGAAAAGAAATTTCGAAGAAACGTGAAAAAATACGCACACGCACATGATTTTACACTGCAGGTTTTCAGTCGTTTGTTTTATTATTATTTTTTTTTTACCAATCAACCGGATGTCGGTCCACGGTTTACTGTTGTCGTCAAACGCGTGTATAATTGATACATTTCAAATGGAGTTGATTCATCGAATAAAAAATTTACTATTATTTATCCGTTTGGAGAATGAGTAAAATACATATTTTATGAATACGTATGTCTCATTATCCATCATTCTACATTGATTAATGTTTATTTGTTTAGCGCCATGTTGGTAAATAATTTCGCAGTCAAAGATTTGAAAACATGTATGCAAAATAATGAGCATCATTTTTTATCACCCACTATATTTTTAATTACTCTGTTAAAAAATAAATGCTGGCACCTTGAATTATCACAGTGAAAAACTCGCCAAATTAGTGACATTATTGGGAAAGACTAAAACAATCCAATTGTGTAATTTTAATTTGGCCACTCAAATGTTTTACAAATTTGAAAATATAAAAACAATTAAACTACGGAGGTTCGACGTTCTCTTGAGAATTATGGAAAATTGTGTAATTTCAAGTCTCCTATAACGGTTTAATGTTCATTAAATTGTGTTATTACTTTATTTATTCCAATTATGACTAATCGAAATTAAATGTAACATATCTGTGACCGTAATAATCATAAAAGCGGTATATTTCTAAGAATATGATTGGTGAACTTTACACAGTCACGATTCGTATGTAGTAGTGATATTACGATTTTGATTAAATTTGAAGCTAAAGATTTCCTATTGCTTCGAAATCAAACGACTTCGCATGGTCACCGCTGTTGCATGTGTAACGAACGTTTGGAAAAGTGTACTAACGTCGTTCTTTCGCGGTATACATTAAAATAGTTGTCGTTTGTGTAATTACATACATTCGGAACATTCGAAAAAGCATGTTCGACTGCAGCTAACCTTTAATTATTATTAATTATTAATTACTATCGTTTTTTCGATCACTACTGTGCATTTTTTATCTCTGTCGGGTAAACACGTGTACGCGAAAATATATATTGTACGATTTTTACTTCTGTTTCCGAGAATGTCACATTTTATTAGTTTTAAAAAAATAATACGCTGTCTGTGTGCAATACACGTTTTTTATTCATCACATTTTTTTTGTCTCATCTAGTAGATATTTTCTACCTACTATGTTGTCAGTCGTATATACCATGAAATCACGTTTGTTAAAATATTTCAATGAGTCATAATTTGTTTTTAATACACGCAGTATTATTGCACGTGTATTATTCACTCACGATACATTTTTCGACGAATCGCTCTCGCAAATCAAGTTAAATTTTAATATTATTTCTTTGTGAATTCTAATATCAATTTTAAGCCACTTCTTCTTACCGTATGATTCACACTGTTTTATACGTACCTTTACCTGGTTTCCCGGGAGCGTAGCTAGGTATTTCAAAAGGGGGGTGTTATTCAAAATTATACACAATAAAATAATTACTTTACGTATAATTTATTATACAAGCATACAAACACATTATTACATTACTCATGAATATATATTCATGTGTAATTCACTATTCTATTTAAATATTTTAATAACATTTCAAATGTACATTTTTATCGTATGTACCTTATTTACATCGCGTATGATACAATACAAAACTACGGCTTTGGTTTATTAGACAAAACGATGTAATGAGAAGCCGGATCCTGACATTACATTATTGTTATGTATATATTTCGAAATGATAAATATGTTTTCATCACGGTTTATGAAGATTTTTTACCTTTATAGAACTTAAGCATAACATGGTTAAAGAGGGGGGTGGTGTTACTATACCTGTAGCACCCCTTCCTGGCTACGCGCTTACGGTGTCCTAATTATTGTTATTGTGTTAAATACTTATACATGTTCAAATCGTTTTCAAATTTTTTAAGAAAAAACAAATATATAACTCTTGACAATTAACGTATGCGTCAAACAAAAAAAAGAATCTCGATAGTGAGAACTAAAATACAAATATCACAGTTGTTTCCAATGTTATAATATTATTGTCCCACGCTCTTATCCGCTGTAGTGTAAACACCGCGTATTGCTGGAACAATTATAAATTGTTAAACGCTTGCTTTTGTTATCATTATTACATTTTGTTATGTAACTATATACTGTATTATAT